GGTTCGTCCCACTTTTTATTTAAAGGCCAATCCTAAAGTAACTATTGATTTTCTATATGTTGTCTCTAGTATTGAAGAAAAGGTCCTATTTGATTAATATTACGAATTTCGGGCCTTGAGTTCAAGTCCAGGTTCAAACAAAAGGGCAAGCCTTTTAATTTGGACCCTCTACCTAACCCGAAGGCCCAAGTTGTATTTTAACCTAAAGAAAGGAAAAGAATTGCAAACTTCTAACACATTGTGTTTAAAATAAAGCCCAATCCTAAGGTTGACTATTTCAGGCCCAACTGACATGTTCAACAACTTGGGGAACACGGTTCAAAGGCCCAGCCCGGGCGAGAGCGTGAAAGCATTTAACTCAGATTATGAACTTCACTTTGTGCATTCATTCAATTATCTCGCTTATTTTCAACTATACTTTTCTATTTTTTATTTGTCTCTAATAACACAAGAAAAAACCTAAAATAATTTGTTATCTAACTAAGACAAACTGAAGGATAACTCTGTACCAAAGAATAACATTGGGCCCTGGCCCAAGTCCAAACGTAAAGGAAGTTAACACTGGACCTGGGCCTGCATATCAGATATCCTGTGGCCCAAACGTCTTGGGCCTTCGCACCAGATACAACAGATTTTAAGAATACTCAAGAACAGGTTTACTAATTCAGATCAATCTAACTGATGATGCATGATTTAATTCAAGTAGACCACTAATTTGAGCCATTATCCTAAAATTATTAACACCTACACATTAACAGAGATACGAATTACTGTAGCACAACACATGTTCAACTTGAAATCAAACTAGTTTTCACGATCGAATAAAAATTCAGCTATATTTAAGTTTTCTTTTGTTGAAATCGAAATAACTCTCAACTAAACATGTATCACACAGACTCAACCAAATCAAGCTGCTAACTATCGATTTCTCATAATTCCAGGAATATGTCTAATTAGTTTAACAGTCCACTACTCAACAGTCCCAAGTTATTATAGACTAGTTATAATGAGCAAACTATTGAATCACAAAATTCTAATATAGACTAAGCAAGTACAGATTATAAATTGCCTCTTCTACTTTGATAGTATAAACACACAAATATCAGAGAACGAGTGAGTGTGCATTTCACTTCAACATCTCAAACTCAAAGCGACATCCATTCATGGTTCAAATGTGTACCTGGTAAATTGAATCACAACATAAGAAAGGAGATCAGCAACAGGAAAACGACAGCTCGACTATCGAATTACTTCAAAACAGCACCAGCAATCACAAACAGCAATGACAGCAAACAGGAGTAATTTGAACTAAAATACAGCTTCGCCAAAACCAGTAACACACTACCAAAGGGCTATGCCAACTGACTGGCCTAAAATGACTCAATTGATCCTAAAAACCATTTGAAATAGAACCAATAGATCTCTGAAATTCCAGTAGCTAGACCTTGAACCAACAGATGTGACTGAACCACTAGAAATCGAAATTATCCTACAACATCCAATGGAACAGTACACTTTTTATTTTTTACTGTATTTCTGTTTTGTTTCTGGATTTTTGAAAGTTTTCTAATATTTTTGGGTTTTGAATATTTGAATTTCAAAATTCAGATCTGGAGAAGAGAGAGCTATGCAGAGGAGTTTTTTTTTGAGGCTCCAAAACTTGTGAATGAAGGCAAAGGTCATGCCATTTTATAGGCACAAATGAGGTCCAGCCTCAGATTTTCTGTTTTCCCTTTAGTCCTTCTTTTTAATTTCAGTTTTACCCGCATAGTCCCTTAGTTATTGACTTGTTACTCAAGTTAGACTATTCAAATCCTAAAATTCAAACTAACACCCCTACCTAGAAGCTTCTGAAACGGTTACACTACAGATTCCCTAGGTGCAATGCCCAGTTTACCCCTTAAGATTCTTGTATTTACTCCTAGTCTACCAAACAAATTTGGGTCATGGGTCAAATTGACCCCAAATCCACATGTGGGCTCGATTCTGACCCAATTACCCCAAATCCAACCCCTTGAGGTGAGTTCTTAAGTGGCTTCGAAGCCCAGACAACAAAATGAGCCAAAAATCAAACTTGCTACAAACTAAGGGCAAATACTTAAATGATTTCGAAACCAAATCTACTCTAATTGAATGATTATTAAACACAAGTAAGCAGGCGATTAACTAAATTATCAGAATAAACCTAATGAACTAGGTGGCTAAACGAGATATGGAATCAGAACTTTAAACAAGCTAACCATCAACATTTAGCGGACAAGCTTTCACAAACAAAAACAAACAGAAAACAATTTAAACTCGGAAATTTGGTCAAGTTTTCAACCAGAGAAAGAGGAGAAGAAGAAGGACAAAAAGGTGAAGTAAAACTAAAATGGTCATAAAAAATGAAATAGAAAGCTACAACTGACTAAACTCGAAATTACACTTGAATGTCCTGACTCACATGAAACTTGACCAATTTTGCAGTGAATCAACCTTTAAATCAAGAGTCGAATGCAATGTCACCACGTTCAACGGAAGCTGATCTGAATTGTGAGGCTCAAATTCGGATTTATGATTTGAAGAATTTCGGGATAGATTCGAAGGAAACCAACGAGAGACTAGGCATGAGGGAGCATGGGGGGTTATGGGGTGTTGATTTAGGCTTGAACAGAGGTGGCGCCGCCACCGGAGAAACTGTGGCGGCGCTAGGGTTTCGATTATTCGAACAATTTGGGTGAGATTTGAAGGAGACGGGGCATGGATTTGGAAAAAGGAAGGGAAGGCGATCACGTGGTGTTAATTTGAGGTCCATCGGAGACCTGCCGCCGGCGGAGGCGATTTCCGGCCGGAGGTTTTGCGGCGGAGGACGGTGGTGTTGAATGGTCTCTAATGGCTGGTGAGACAAAGGGGGTAGGGGGGTTCCGAGGGGCGGGGGGCCTTCAGACAGTCTTATACCAAAGACTCCCATGTTCCTGACCGTTCGATTAAAAAAACCTCGATGGTCCAGATCAATCCGGCATGAAACGATGCCGTTTGGTATATGGGGGGGCTGGACCGGGTTTGGAGCGTTTGGGCCTGGTCCGGGGGTGTATTCTTTTGGGCTAAGACCGAATTAATGATAAATGGCCCAGTTCCGGGTCCTTCAAGACAAGCCCTTTTTCCTTTTAATAGCCTTTTTTATTTTCTCTTTATTCAATTTTGTTTTGTTTTCATTTTTGTATTTTATATATTTGTTTGTATTTTATTTTCTGATTTTATAAAAACGCTAAAAATTAAAATAAAGTCCTAATATATTTCAAAGTTAAACTAATTAACTCCTAAAATTGTTTAAAATCCATTTCATGACGAATTCTCAATTAAACAATTAAAAATGCAAAAGTGAATTTTTTTTTGTTATTTTCTTTATATTTGTTCTAAAAGCCAACTTAACCGCTAATTGATCCTAAAATATGAAATTAAATCCTAAATGCAAGTGCCAAGTGTATTTTTTTTTTATATTTTCCATATGAATTAAAATGCACAAATAAATGCAAACAATTAACAGAAAAACATGCAAAATTCACAAAATTGTAAAATAATGAAAGAAAAATCATTTTGTTTGAATCTTTGGGAGTAATTCACTTAGGGCAAAAATCACGTGCTCACATGGAGCACATCCATTAAATACTCCGATGGTTGTTCGATCACTTGATGTGAATAAGGATCCATCCCGACCTCAAGAAAATAATGAAGAGCTACTTGGTCCTGAAATACCATATCTTAGTGTAATTAGTGCACTAATGTATCTTGCTAATACTACAGGGCCTGGCATAACCTTTTCAGTTAATGTCTTAGCAAGATATAGCTCTGCTCCTACAAGGAGATATTGGAATGGAATCAAACACATATTGCGGTATCTAAAAGGAACTACCGATATGGGCTTATTTTATGGCAATAATTGCAGTCCCGATCTTGTTGGTTATGCCGATGGTGGGTATTTATCTGACCCATACAAGGCTCGATCTCAAACAGGTTATGTGTTTACCTGTGGAGGCACTGCCATATCTTGGCGATCGACTAAGCAATCAATTGTGGCTACTTCATCTAATCATGTTGAGATAATTGCTATTCATGAAGCAAGTCGAGAGTGTGTGTGGTTGAGGTCTATAATACATCTTATTCGAGACAAATGTGGTTTGAAATGTGACAAACTACCCACGATTTTGTATGAAGACAATGCAGCATGCATAGCCCAATTGAAGGGAGGATTCATAAAAGGAGATAGGACAAAGCACATTTCACCAAAGTTATTTTTTACTCATGATCTTCAAAAGAATGGTGATATCAATGTGCAGCAAATTCGTTCAAGTGATAATATGGCTGATTTGTTCACCAAGTCTTTACCGACTTCAACCTTCAAGAAGTTAGTGTACAGGATTGGGATGCAAGGCTCAAGGATGTGAACTGATGCTTTCATCAGGGGTTGCACTCTTTTTCCCTTACAAGGTTTTGTCCCACTGGATTTTCCTTGCAAGGTTTTTAACGAGGCAACCAAAAGGCGTATTTCTAAACATGTGTACTCTTTTTACTTCTCTAGAATTTTTTTCTCACTGAGTTTTATTTTAGTTAAGGTTTTAACGAGGCATATTATCTGTTGAATATACATTCAATGGGGAGTGTTATAAATAGAATTTTTTTATGGTGAATGTCTGTATTTAAAGAGATTCTAGGGATTATTACTTGGTGGCTAAGTCACTCTTTCCATAGATGGTTCTATTCCATTGTAATTTATCTCAAAACAATAAGAATTCTCTCTCTTGCTTTGCAATATTCTTCTTCATTGTTTTATTTCACAAGTGAATATTAGTTAAAACAATTTGTACAACTTGAAAATCAGAGGCGATTTCAAAAAAGAAAAGGTACAAAATAGAAAAAAGAAGAACATTAATACAACAAAAAGGAAACTATGAATTTTTTACGAAAGCCAGCAAATCCCACCGCAAATCATGTGCCAAATTCAAGTAATGCAACCATGTTGCGGAACACAGACTGCGTGTTTCGCCGAAGCCCAACCCCTCTTCAAAACACTTATCACGCGCTCTGCTCCCTCCCGATACAAAACACAGACACACACACTCTTAATTTCTCTCGCTAAACCCACGAATCCATACTCCCATTCGCTTTCTCCGTGATCATTTTCCGGCGAGATCTCTGATACTCCGTCGGAAAATCCTGATCGGATCCGCTATCTCTGAACTGCGATTCACTTAGCGATTTCGAAAGATCCGATTAGATATGGCTCCAGTTTCGGCTCTTGCGAAGTACAAGCTCGTCTTCTTAGGAGATCAATCTGTCGGCAAAACCAGTATTATCACGCGATTCATGTATGATAAATTCGACAACACTTATCAGGTATACACTTTTCCTGCTTCATTATTCATGTGATTCGTTAACCTCTTTTTTCTGGGGATCTGCTTCTTAATTACATTTGTCTTCTGCTTGTTGTTAGCGATATTTAGTTTGCTCTATAAGGACTTGATGATCTTCTATTTGTTAGAGTTTTTATTTGTGCTACTATCAACTTTTGTGGTTCGCTTTGTTCCTGATTCAGTATACGCTTAGCTTTGACATTAACATTGGAAGGTTAGTCTTTTGAGCATCACTTGATAAATTTATGCATAGTAGAATCAGAGAGAGTAGGTGAAGACATGTTATTCTTACTAGGATTCTATATAGAGGTTGAATTTTTCTAATCTCGTTTAGAATGTCGCTGTATAGTATGGTTTATCTGAAACAGATCTGAGTGTCGGATACCCTTGCATCTGAAAATTATGGTTTATATCTGGAACATATCTGAGTGCGCATTTTGTGAGCAAGTGATTGTTCAATATCTTTATCTATAACACACATTTATTGCTACTTGTATGTATCATATGCTTATACTGAGAGGCATGTGCACTGCCATGCATTCGGTAATATATATTTCGCACCATGCATTGTTGGTCATATTATTTGTTAGAGTGTAGTACAAAAGTATAGGTTATTTGTCTGTTTGCAAATTTTGAGTGGAGTACGTTGCTCTCTTTAAGTTGGCTTCCTTAATGACTGATAGGTTTTGCACAGTTGAATGTGAAGTAAGCAACTCCTCTATCATACAAGTATTGGAAATATACACTTCAGCATTCAGCAGTGGGATAGAGAAATTGTTCCTAGTTTATTGCTTGTCATGCCATATTTCTCGGTCTCTAATAATCCGAAGCTTTTTCTTCCTTGCACATCGTTGACAAGATAATGTATCACACTCTTAGACCTTGGCAGTTAATGACTTGCTTTACCTTTTTTGTGATTTGCCGACTTTTAGACTGTGATTAGAAGAACCTCAATTTCCATGCATTGATGGAATAGCTTTTGTGTTCTCTTTTTGATTGTGAAACTGCTCGTAACCTTGATTTTCTAGTCCCTGCCATGCTTCTTCTAGTGAAGTATTTCAATTTGAAGAATAATCTTTCTTCTCATCCTCATTTTACTTAATTTCTTGTTCAGGCTACAATTGGTATTGACTTCCTGTCTAAGACTATGTACCTTGAAGATCGTACAGTACGATTGCAACTATGGTAAGATATGCTTCTTGATGAGACAATACCTGCTCTTCAAGCTCTAATTAGCATAAACGCTATTTATAACATTCTTAATACGTCACCTTTGTGCCATTTTGTAAGGAGAAATAGCATAAATCTATTCAACGTAAGACAATTAACAGTACAATGTGATGTCTTGAGTTCCCTATTCAATAAAAAGTGATGCAGCCCCTTGGTTTTATGGGTTGTTAACAACTTAACATATATCAGGAGAGTTTATATTTTCTTGCTACAACAGATTTATTTAGTGATGCCTTCAGATATGCTGATCTTGCTTCAGTTTTCTGGCGGAGAAAGAGAGGTCCTAATGTTTAACTCTATCCCTCCTATTGGGTTATCAGTAATCGTCAAATTCATAGACATATTTTTGAAAATAACCTGGCCTGACAAAGCATTCTTCTCTAGATAGTTCTCGGTAATAAATTTCCTTTGACCTGATTTCATTGATTGGGAAAATTTTTCACTTTTGCTAGGCTTCTTGTTTGGTTCACTTGATGCTGGGTGTAGCAGTCAATTTACATTTTAAAGTGCGCTTAGATTTGCTTTTCGTGATACCTTTTCAGGGATACTGCAGGTCAAGAGAGATTTAGGAGTCTCATACCAAGCTATATCAGGGACTCCTCTGTTGCTGTCATTGTGTTTGATGTTGCAAGTATGTTACTTTTCGATATTATGCAGTTTTTTCCTGATCATACTCAATTTATGTGTAATCCTTTCTTATAGATGCTTACTTGGAAAAGAATTACATAGATGATATATCCCTTGCTAAAGTGACTTTGTACTTTTAATGATTCCAGGCAGGCAGTCCTTCTTAAATACTTCAAAGTGGATTGAGGAGGTTCGAACTGAGAGGGGCAGCGATGTTATTATTGTCCTTGTTGGTAACAAAACTGATCTAGTTGACAAAAGGTAGCCATAACTATTTCATTCTCGTTTTTCCTTTTTCTTTCTGGAGGGTATGGGGGGGTAAGAGAGGCTTTGGTTGAGACTAGTGATGTGTAATCTTTACCTTCCTTTATGTACTCTTATCACACATCTCATTCAATTTACTGGCCTTTTCTTACTGCATTTTTGGCTACGTGATGTCAAGGTCTCTACGAAAGATCCTTAATGTTCTTACCTATCTTGTTCTCTGTGTCTACCTCATGGAGTGATAAAGTAATTGTCATTTTTTTGTATGTGCTACAAATTCCACTTTATGTGAAGAAAAGGAGATAGTTGTAGTGAGAATCATGGTCCATTATGTTTAAGCTCCCTCCAGATTTACACAAGAGCTAAGGGAATGTTTTAGGGTACACCCATCTTTTGCTCCTTGCAAAGTGTAGTGTGTGCCTAAGGAAATGGTTAAATATTTGTGAGCTTTGTGTTGTGTTGTCTGCTACTGGAGTTTTGTGCTGTTATGAGTAGTTTATTATTGCTATAGTAATGGCAGAATTCTCATGCGCTCGTTGGTCCTGTGACAAATTGCAGGCAAGTTTCAATCGAGGAAGGAGAAGCAAAAGCTCGTGAACTAAATGTGATGTTCATTGAAACCAGTGCAAAGGCCGGCTTCAATATTAAAGTAAGTAATGTTAGCTTTACACTTCGCTTCAATAAAATGTGAGAAAGCTTATCTTTCGTTGGGAGATTACAATCTGCATCATTTGTGCTGTCATGCTAAGAAAATCAGGCTTTGATGTTTTCAAGTTATTGTTGTGAACTGTTTATTATTGCACCCACTTGCTATTTTGTTGCTGATAGTGCAATATCAACCTTGCAGCCTCTTTTTAGAAAAATCGCAGCAGCATTGCCAGGAATGGAAACACTGTCTTCAGCTAAGCAAGAAGACATGGTTGATGTCAACCTCAAGTCAAGCAACCCAAATGCGTCCCAATCACAACCACAGTCAGGAGGATGTGCTTGTTAATTTTATGGTTTGCAATTCTATAGCTTTCAACACAAGTTCTTAAATTTTGTTTTCCATAACAAATGTGTCTGTAAATTTCTTTCGACTTTCGAAACATTTGAATACTTTGAGTTTTGTTATTTGTTAAAGTTGGATACAAGAGGTTGTCGTCCTAGTTGAGTAAGACCTAGCATGTGTCACTTATTTGTATTAGTCTCTAGACCTATGCAATTTAGCAGTTCTCCTTTTGGGGAACAACTCTTCTAAGTGCATACTATCAGTTGATTCATTGTGGTTATTTAATAGGAAATTTTGGTTGGACGTGCTTGAGTAAGTGATGGTTGAACAGGATGTAGCTTTGCTAGTACAATAGTACTCTGGCTGTGACATACTTTTCTGCAGATCATTTTCTAAGCTTGCGCGAAAATTTGTGTATGGTTGAAATGGATGGTACTAAAAAAGCAGCTACATTATACGGCCTCATAAGTCTGTACTTCTCGCTGGAATGTAGACCAAATGCCGATATGTCACTTTTAGTTATCTAAGAGTAAATAGTTCTGTGTTCCTCTGCCAACGTTGTAACAGGAGTGTGCTTGTTATTACTGATTTATGCTTCTCATGTTCTGAGGTATTGCAGCATCATTTGTTAATCTCAAGCCTTTGCTTTACATTTATCAGTCAGTTTCAGAGTGCTAGTAATCTTGAATGCGGGTTAGTTATTGGACTATGATTTATGTAATATCCTCGATTGATTAGGAAAATTCTGTTTCTACGTTCTCCCATGTGATAAGAGCACCCTTCTTACTACGCCGTTTGAACGAAATGCAGCCCAAAATCTAGCTCATTATCCTTTGACTGATTCACATAACTGGATTGCCGTGGTGTTATTGATCACCACTTGCTATATTCGGGAATCGAGATCCTATTCCACGAGATGTTTGTTATTACTTCACTAAAGAAGAGACAAAAAGTAGCTGTGATAGAAAAGAAAAAGGAAATTACGTACGAACATATTCCAAGCCAGTGTTCCACAAGATTTTTCGAATGCAGCGAAACTATTGATACGGTTAAAAAGAAAATTTTCAAATTGATAGTACGTCTTATTTTGTTTCTGTAATTTTTGGCAAAGGAAAGGAGCGCTCTTTTGTTTCCGGCTTGTGAAAAGATTATTCCGGTTCAGAATTTGCATCGCTAACGCCTACTAAGTCTACAACATTTGATTCCCTACATAAAACTCTTAAGGCGTCGTTTGGCATGAGGTATAATGCTGGTATAAAAATTTAATACCACTTTAATAGAACTTTATTTGGTTAGCAAATTTGGTATAAGTTATTCCGGGATTAAAATTAGTACTGAACTTATACCTTGTAGAGGATGGGGTAATTAGAACCGGGATAACTTATACCTTTCTTCTTAGAAATTATGCAATTGTCATTTTTAATACAACATACCAAACAGTGGATAAAAAACAATATCAGGATAACTAATCCCAGCATAACTTATCCCGACATAACCCGTATTTAAACCAAACGACCCCTAAATTAAAGATAGAACACTTTATGCGTTAATAGTATTTGCATAACTTGTGTAAAAATTCGTGCTTTTTTTATGTTTGATAGCATGTGAAAGTTGAAATCAATCCGTGTGTTACTGTTAGCAAAGCACCTCGAATTACATTAATACTTTTAAATAATAGCTTCTTGTTTAATAAATAAGAGTCGGTAAAAATTTATGATAGTATGGAGTAGTAAGAATTCTTGATTAATTTTTACTATGTTTTATAGGATTCTGAGTTTTTCTTTTTTCTGTGCGTGTGTATACATACATATACACACTAATTAGTGACACTTCACGTTAACTTTAGTGTCATAATTATTATTGTTCACCACATAATTCAGTCTTATTATTTATTGTCGTTATTATACAGTAATTTTTTATAATAAGTTTTGTATAACTAGTCTTTGCACTAGGGGTGTACAAATGAAACCGACAAACCGCACCAACCCGATAATCCGAGTCAAACCGAGAAAAAAAATCCGACTATGGTTTGGTTTGATTTGGTTTGTTGTTGGAAAAAAAAACCCGACCATATTTGGTTTGGTTTGGTTTTAACTAATAAAAGTCAAACCGAAACCAAACCAACCCGACATTATATGTATAGAAATTCTAAATATATTTAGTACATAAAATATTTATTATAGTGTAGTTTATAAATATTTTTTTTTGCTTTTTCATAGTTTTATCTTTTAACTTATTATTTCAAGCTTGGACTTATAATTTTTGAATGCTCCAATAAGTTTTATAGTTCATAATTGTTAGTAACTCAAATAAATCCTAAACCAATATCAAATCAATACTAATTCCAATAAAAGACATTCAATTCAATTGTACTATGAATGAAAATAGTGTTGGATATCTATTTTTTAGTTTTTTCGTGGTTTAGATAAAATCCATAATATTTTTTCCTTTTAGTGTTTAGTCATGTAAATAATAGTACTTATTAATTGTACTTATTTTAGCAACTTATTAGTAAATCTAAATTATGTTTATTTTCATTTCATTATGGCTTATTAATAATACTTATTTTATGCAATTTTATTATCTTTATTGTTGAATGTTTTGGTACAATGCCATGGCACATCTCATATTTATGTTATTTTATTGAAAAAGACCTTATATAGTTCTATCTTACTAGGATTAAGGAAATATTTGGAGCACAAATTCTATATTGTGCTATGAAGACTTTATGAAAAAAAAAATCCAAAAAAACCCGAAAATCCGAAAAACCCGAGAAAAACCGAGATTGAAAAACCAGACTTTTATTGGTTTGATTTGGTCTTTAGATATAATAATCCGATACAATTGGTTTGGTTTAGTTATTAGAAAATCCGAACCAACCCGATCTATGCACACCCCTACTTTGCACCAAACATCAAGCCTTATCAGCCGCTACTTTACTCAACCAAATAAACCGATTCTAAATCCAAATTCACAAACATTACGCAACACGAAACCTTCTTGCGATTAAGCCTTTTTCATTTTGATGGTGAATCTAATCGCATTTATCCAATCCAATTAAGAGGTACTCCACTAACTTTTCTACAAGTCAACATCTATGTAGTACACAAATGAGAAAACTATGATGTTCTCATTTATTCCTCACGGGTCTGTCAAATACTTGTCCCCACGTGTCATCTTCCCATTTGTCATAACCCATGCACATCAATTTCACTTATGTCCAGCTCAGCTTTCTTTTTCCCCTTCATGGTCATCTTGATGAGTGATGACCCTTCGAAATATGCCTTCAATTTCCAACGTTCTTTTCCTTTTTTCTTTTTTCTTTTTTAACAATATTTTTTACGTAATATTTAGGGGTTAGATAAGGGGGTCCGGTTGGTTGGGTTTTGCTTGGGTTGGGGGGGGGGGTGGAGGGGGGTACTGTGTAATTTCCGAAGACCCTCCATCCAAAAGTTTTCCCCTTTAAATTTGCAACAATCAAATATTTGTAATTTATTGAAGTTCCGTTCTTCTCTCTGACTTAAGGCTGCTGAGCTGTGGCCGTTTGACCAAATTTCGTCCTTCTTTTCCACCATGACAGGTCCTCTCTTTCTCCTTTTTTCTGCGTGTTCACATAAATTTTTAATCATTTTTTGTTTATACTTTGCGGGTTTTTTGTTTGTTTGTGGTCAATTGGTTGTTTCAATTTGAAAAGGGATTATTAGGTCTCTGTGGCTTGACTTTTTCTGTTTTCTTTCTGATCACTCTGTTGTTGAGTTATTAGTGTTGTGGGTTGTGTTGTGGTAAGGGGATCGAATGGATTCATATAACTTTTGTTTTCCTAATTATGAATAAAAATTCGATTTCCAGTAATTCTCTTTGAGTATCATCCATTAATTTGATAAAATCTTATTTTTTTCTTGGTCCAAAAAGTAAATTTAGAAGGGAAAATGATAAAATGTTTTTTTTCTTCCTTTTGTCAAGTATGAGTGTAATTTTTACATTTTCAGCTCTGAGCTGTTGTTGTATCATACACTTCAGGTCGCTCTATTTTCTTTCACTTTAGATAGTGAAGAGTCAAAATTTAGCACCTTTTTTCTGAACTGCACTAGGATGTTTCTAGTGCCAATGAAAAACTTGTATCCTTTCTCTAGATTTTAATCCAGTGATCCATGTTAGTCCACGAAGTCGTCATATTCGAGCACTAGGGGCGGAGCTAGAGTATCATGTACGGGTTCGGATGAACCCAGTAGCTTTTGCTTAGGCATAGTACTTGTATTAGGATTTTTTTTGAATATGTATACATATTTAGTTGCGAACCCAATTACTAGGACGAGCTATGGGTTCAATGGCAAGTTCAAAGCCCATAAACTTTAAATTCTAGCTCTGCCTCTGTAGTGAGCACCCCTGAGAAATTTAGAAGAGGTTGGATTGCTTCTGTTTGGTAATGGGACATAACAGTAGTTGTTATTCTTCGATTACTTCTCAATTGTTCCTGAATAACTGCTTGTGCTTGTTAGAAGAATATGTGGATACAAAGAGACTATAGATTTGAGGTATATTTCTGTTACACTATATATGGGATATTAGAGGAGAGAGGACAATTGTCTACTTGCAATCAGTGGCTATTTTCAGAAGTTTCATCTATAACCTCTCTTGAATTATGTTTTTGGTTACATGATCGGTTGTGTTCTTTGTATTTGCGAATACCACTCTCATTATGTCCTCGATTGTTGTTCTAACAGCAGATAATCAGCAACCAATTTTGGGAAAAGATGGTGCCTCAAACGGGCAGCATCCGCTGGCGAAGCTGAACCGTCTGCACTTTTGGCTTCTATTGGCACTCAACATTATTTTCTTGCTTGCTGGTCAAGCTGCTGCTGTTATTTTGGGACGATTTTACTATGATAAGGGTGGTAATAGTAAATGGATGGCCACTCTCGTCCAAACAGCTGCTTTTCCTGTTCTTTTCATTCCTTACCTTTTCATTACTTCTCCTCAAAATGATTTAGAAGGCTCCAATCGAGCTTCTTTCATCACAGTTAGCGTAGTCTATTTCGTAATTGGTGTAATGGTTGCAGGAGATAACATGCTATATTCCATCGGACTATTGTATCTCTCTGCTTCTACATATTCCCTTATTTGTGCAACACAATTGATTTTCAGTGCAGTCCTTTCTTTCTTCCTAAACGGTCAGAAGTTCACAGCATTGATCATGAATTCTGTGGTCGTGCTTTCTTTATCTACTGCTCTTCTTGCTGTGAACGATGATACTGATATGCCTTCAGGCGTAACCAAGTGGAAGTATGTCATTGGATTTCTAGCTACTCTTG